GTCCCTCTCCACACCATTGTCTGTGTCCTTGGGTCGTGCATATGTGCATATAAATTCTTTGGTTAGCCTCCCCCCCATCAGCCTCCTCCTTCCCTCTGAGATTCGTCAGTCTGATCTATGCTTCCATGTCACTGAATCTGTTCTGTTCATCAGTTTATTAAGTTATTTAGATTCCACATATAAGTGAGATCATGTGATGTTTTTCTGTGCCTGGCTTATTTTGCTTTGCATAATATTCTCCAGGTCCTTCCATACTGCAGCTGTAAAGAAGAAGGTGTGTACTTTCAAAGTCACCATTAGAGATAGGCTGTCATTTTTGGTGACTAGTGCACACAATGTCGTTGGGAATGTAACATGTTAATGTATATAGACATGTGTCCCTGGGTGGGAATACTGCACTTCACCACTACTTCCAAAAGAAATGAGACAAAGTAACTGAAAGAGGAGATTGCACATTAGGGTAGCTTAATAGGTTTTAAAAGTACAGAAATAATCTATACAAACTTGAATCTGAACCTTTCATTGTTCCGTACTTTGTGATAAACTGGGTGCATATAGAGGTAGCTGAAGCATCTTTGCCCTTAGACAGCAATGACTTTCCTGGACACAGGACCAGCAATTGTAAGATAACAAAACTGAGATACAGGGACTTAAGTAATGTGCCCAGCCCCACAGCCAGTCATTGGTGGAGTGGGCATTCGGCCTGACCAATACTGTCAACCATGCAATATACCCCATGAGTTGAAGGCTGGTTTAAAAAGACAGAAGTTGCTGCCCTCAAGGAGCTTTCCATCCCGTGTGAGTGGGGTGTTCCTGGGACAGATCTCCACAGGCACATGAAGGTGTCTTGCCCAGCTCTCCACTGCAGCACACGGTGTGCTATGTTTCCTGAACTATACCTGAGTCAGGTCATCCCTTGTGAACTGGTACACCACCGACCAAGTTCACCCTCGATGGAGTTAGGAGTGCCTCCAAATTAGAAACAGGGTCTCCCCAGACATTCCTACCCTCTGTGCCCTCTGTGTGTGTTGAATTGACTGCCTCTGCCCTAGCCCGTCCAGCACTGTGCATGTAGTAAGTTCTTTGCCAAGGTTTATCGAATAAATAGCTCAGTGAGCTGATCCCAAATGGGCATGGGAATGGCCCGTTACCAAGTTCAAAGCCATTGCCTCTAACAAACAGACTTTTCATTTATTTATTTATTTATTTACTTACTTACTTACTGCACAAAACACTGTTGATCTTGATGAAAGCCAAGTTAGCATTTTGTGACTTTCTAATCATAGCTATGATTTGGGCACTCGTTTGAAATATGGACTATTGAAAAGATAGAATACTTTAAAGAGTGTGTTCATGCAAAAATAAATTATGGATTCCTTTAGCCACTTCCTCTGTTTAGAAATAGCACTCATACATATTTTATACATAAATTGACAAGGCTGGCAGAGACCTCATCTTCCCTATAGCAGTTTGAACCGGACTGATTGAGGATTTATTGCCTAATTATACTTGTCAGCCTGACATAAAAGTCATTAGTTCTGGAAAAACATGTTTATCACCCAGGAGTATCTCTAATTAATATAGTCAATATCTAACATATATTTAAAGCTAAACAGAGTAGTAATCTCCAAAGCATATGTTAGAGACTAGGAGGAGCTGATGGTAAACCCCCTTGGGCCATGAAACTGCTCTTGGTGCAGGTTTGTATTGCAGGAGAGATGATCCCATGTTATGCATTGTTCCCTCTTCTTTGAATACAGCGAAGTAAGTGCTATGGACGTCAACTCCCTCTGCTGATGAAATGTAAAGGTAATAACTAAAAACTCAGAGCGGTTATGTGATTTGATTAGAGTTGGTGAGTGACTCAAGTAGGATTCAAACCTGAGGCCCAGTGTGTTGTTTTCTCAATATCAGATCTACTAGCCAAGTTGATCTCTGCAGTGTCCACACGTGGTCTTCCTCTCTCCTCCTAAAAGTACATGTAAACTTGGAGCTCAGCAGGACAAACCAGGTAGTCATACTGAGACAACCGTCTGGCACAAATGTTTTCTTTTGCCTGACGTTCAGTGGATAGCTCAGTGAAGCAGTGCACTGCCAGTCACTGCACGGGGCAGTTGTCATGCCCCCATATTTGCTGATAGCCTCTAGTACCCCCCACCCCTACACTGCCCAGCACCACAGTGTACACAGTGCCACATAGTAAAATCATTTCAGCAGTTATTGCCAAGCTGCTGTACAGCTCACAGCAAACTCATTCATTTGCTCACAAATGTGCACATTTCTGCCATAAACATAAACATCAGAAGTTGTTTTTGAATAAAAAAGGTTCGATTCATTAGCGTTATTGAGTCCTGCCCCCAAACAGATTCCATTATTAGGTTTTCCCACACCAATTAAAATATAGTTTCTGCAGCAGTGCACCCTGTCATAGAATGCTTATACTTAGTAACCAGGGTGACTGTGAGAGGCCAATGTAGTTATTTTCCATTTTATCAGGTCCTTTCTGCAGCAATAGTTTTGTAGTTATTTACTTAAATTGTATAATGTGCTGAAATATTAACTTACAGATTAGAATTAACAGTTAAAGTGGCTGAAAATAAACCTGCCTAATACATGCAGACTAATTGGCCAGGGAGCCTGTGCTTACTCTACCATGCCTTCTATAAGTGCGGGTTGTGGGCATCATTTCGAAGGCTAGTGAGAACATAAGCCTGTATGATGTTTCTTGGTGGAACCCCAAAGACAGGCCACTGGCTCCCCGAGGAGCATGACCAGGACATTTCCTAGGTCTGTCCCTAGCAGGTGGGCTATCAGAGCATCTCCAACTTCTTTCTGAGGGGTTCTGTCAGACTCTGAAGGCTGGGGTGCAGTGAAGAGCATTACAGAAAACTGCTGTATTTGGGCAAGTGATGCAAAGCTCTTCAGGGCAGCTCTGTGAAAACTTGAGATCCATCTGGAAAAGGTTCCTTCAGTACCTAAGCCACACCAGGTGTCTCTTTTGGGAGGCAAAAACAACACTAATTATATCTACTTATGGAGGAAAGAAAGTATGCTGTTTCCAAAAATACTTTCATTTGCTTTATTAAGAT